CTCAGTGCAAGGCCTCTCTCAGTTTGGGGGACCTCAGGCAAGTCTGGCAGCACCTGCCTCTGGAGAAGGACACCTGTCACTACCTCACAGGGCCACTGGGAGGAGCAAAATTCCCAGCAGCTCCTGATGTTACAGTCATGGTCAAAGTCCTGATGACTATCCCCAAGGGCCTAGGCACCCATCCCAGCCTTTTCCCTGTTGCTCTAATGCACAGACATGCTCTGGCCTTCGCACCTGTCGCTGTCTCTGCCTGGAATGCACATCTCCCAGTGACTACCAGCCTCTGGCCCCCATCTCCTTCTGGTCTCTTCCCCAGCAATACCTTTTCTGACCACCCAAATTAGAGAGCAAGCACCCACTCCAGGTCTCCGAGCCTCTCTCTCTGCTCTCTCCCACAGCACTGGATACCTAACATTTGCAGAGCTAATGTTTTAAATTTATTTTATTTATGTGTGTGTGTGTGTGTGTGTGTGTGTGTGTGTGTGTGTGTGCCCACCAGGGGGCAGGGCTGGCTGGCATGTGGTGCTGGGAGATTGAACCGTGGTCCATGGGCTTTGCTAAGCTTGTTCTAAGTAGGTGCTTTAGACCACTGAGCCATCTCACCAGCCCCAGAGCTAATGTTTTAGGTATCTGTCACATCGGACCCACTCCTAGTACAACACCACCTCGACACGGGCAGGGAATGCTGCTTCACTCAGTTCTGGACCCCAGCACCTAAGGGAGTGCCCAGCACCCAGGAAATATGGCGGAGTAAATGATGAGGCTTGGCTCTGCCATCTCCCCATCGTCTCCTCCCAACCTCCAGCCTCCAAGGCCCTGCTCACTTGTTAGGGCACTGGATACAAGGGAGCAACGAGCCACTTGACCTCTTCTATCCCTGCTTCCTGATCACGGAAACAAGGGACTGGCCCAGATTATCCATGGATGCTTCCACTCTGACAAGCTCCGGCCTACAAGAAAGGCATAATTCTCCCCTACAGCAAGCCTGCGAATGCATTTACCTGATTACAAAAAGCTGCATCTCCTTTATGTGTTCCACAGTTCAGGCCCCGCAGGCCCCCTGCCTCTTACAGCAAATGCGGTCTGGCTACCACTCTCTGTGATTTGTACCCTGCACACCAGGTCAGCGTTAACCTTGAGAGCGGGATCACTGGTCTTGTAAAACTTGACTCAGGTTAGGTTACAGGGAAGTAAAGCAAACCACACTGGGCTGTTTCTTAAGATCAGGAACACCGCCTCTCCTCGTCCCCCTCAATTGAACACTAATTCCTTAGCAGCCCATGCTGTTGGTTTTGGGGCCGAGCCAGAAGCCCTTTGGAGGAATAACAACATTGTGTGTTCCCGGCCAAAAGGAAGGCAGAGGGAGGAAAGCAGAGCTTGGTGCAACACCAGAGTGTACCACGCACGGCTGTGGCGGAGGCCGAGCCAGAGGGGCAGGGGTCCTTCCAGGGCATTCCGGCCAACCGCACTCCAGCCTGGTTCTGAGTCTGAGGAGCTTAAAACCTTTACTTCTCCACTGGAACTCAGAACTTAAATGAGTTCTGATGCCCTGTGCCCATGCATCTAAACCCCATATGGCCAGGGTCAAAGTCATCAGTGGGACTAGCTATGGCTGCTGCTAATGAACTCTTGGTGCCTGACTGTGTCATCCATTTATCAGACAATCAAGTCACTACCCAGCCACACTGGGTTAACTTGCAGGACGCTGTTGGTGCAAGCCACAGAACCAGGAGCCTCTCACCGCGTCCCTGCCTGCTGATGGGCTGCCAAGCTCTGGCACAGTCTCTGGCCATGCCAGGCTCCTAGCACACCCATTACCAGACACTTCACATCCAGAAACAGGGGGGACAGCAGGCAAGTGTGCACGACTGGCCAATGAAACATGGGCCGGCAGCTGTACTACCTCTTTCCAAGGAGGTGGCCTTAGGCCTGTCTGTGCCTCCCCTTCCTCATCTATGAGGTGAAATAATCCAAATACCTCCTTTACAAGGCTGTTAGGCCAATCACACGCAATTAATAAATACCTCACAGCAGCTCAGAGCCTGAGGAGGACATGCTCCCTACATGGCAGTTGTTGTTAATGGGAATTCTGGGTGCACACCTCAAATCACACATGCTCCAAAGGCTTGGACTGGTCCTTGCTGATGTATGTTACACAGCTGTGGGAGTAACACAGGACTTGGCCACTAACACACAGAGACAAGACACTGCGCAGCAACCGCCCTGTCCCTCTGCTGACTGGGCAGGCATCTCTAATCAGTCTCTGAACTCTTCTCCACTGACTGCAGCCATGGACTGAGAGCCCTGAATTCATAGATTGAGGTAGCTCAAAACACTGTGGGAAAACCAATCCAGAGGCATGGGAAAAGTGCACGCATTAGAGACTGAGGGCAAGGGCCACATCCCACAAGAGTGATGTGAGGCACAGTGAGACAGACCAGCAATCCTAGCGCCCTGGGAGGCTGAGGCAGTAGGATGACAAGTCTAAGCCCAGGCTAAACATCTCAGCAACTCAGAAAGACTATCTTAAAATTTAAAAGGAGGAGGGCCAGCAGGGATGGAGCTCAGGGTAAAGCCCCTGCACTTGATGCTCACTACCATCAAACCATCAATCGACTAACCATCAGTCAATCAAAGAAAAGGAGCAACGGAGGTGGATGGAGCTTCATGTCTTGGTTCACTGATGTGGACCTAGCACTTTGAACAGAGCCTACAGAAAGCCACTCTGGTGTCTCCTGGATGACTGAACGTGTGCCTCACCCACCGGTCTCTAGCTGGAGCACTGAGCCCAGCACAGCAGCACCCAGAGACTGTGGGCAGAAGGCGCCAGCATCTCCACAGTGTCACTGTGTGGGCAAGCCAGGCTCCAGCAGGCTCCAGGCCTGACACGGCCACTCACTCTTCACAGGATCCTGAGAAGGACCTTTCCTCTGAAGCTTGACTCTCTCCACATGCACACTGACAGGGTGGATGAGTCAAATGCCAAGGCCTCTTCTAGTCCTGACCTTCTGTGATGTTTACTCTTTACTGTCAACCTGATTGGCTTGAGAGATTCCTCGGACTTTAATAAAGTACACTTCTGGGTATGCCTGCGCTGAGTCACGGGGTGTGAGTTTAGGACAGCATCGATCCTCAGCCTCTTCCTCTTGGGCTCTTTCCACCTCTCTGTCTCCGGCCCCGTAAGTGAGCAGTTTTGCTCCCCCATGCTCTTCGGTCATGATGTCTCTGCTTCGGGGCCAGCCCATTGTGAGCTCAAATGGTGAGTCCTTCTTTCTTCAAATTGTGTATGTAAGGTATTTTGATTCAGCAACAAAAGGCAAATACTTGTGATCCAAGAAATTTCCAGGCACCAGCAAGCAGCCTGAAGGACAACCACTGCCATGGAGGCCACGGCACACAGTGTTCTTACCCACGTCCACCAGCAGAGGTCCTGGGCACACAGCACTCGGGACAGCTGCTAGTCCACAGAGCACTTGGGTGCTCACAGATCCAAGGCAAGACGTTTGTCCTTCCCTTCCATCCAGGTTTGTCCTTCCCTTCCATCCAGTGTACGCTCCCCGCACCTGCATCACCTCTTGTTCTCCCTTCTATTAGTGTGCTGATCACGTCAGCGTCCAGCGAGTGCCTACGAGGGTCCAGGCCCACGGCAGCACACAGGACAGACAGGGGCCCTGTCTACACGGTCCCTATGGAGTCAGCACTCTGAGATCAGAAGCAGAGCAAGGACACGAGCAAAAGGAGTAAGAAGGAGCATAAGCACGCACAGGCCGTGGGCTGGGACAGCGGTGCCTCGAGCAAGGGGATCAGGGAAGCTTCCCCAAGGCGGGGACTGAACTGAGGTCTGAAAGATGAAGGGCACTAACCTGGGAAGACAGAAAAGTGCATTCCAGACAAAGGCTGTCAAGCAACTGCCACTTACATACATATTTGCATGTCATCTAGGGTTGCTGTCATTCTACCGTGGCAGAGTTGAGAAACTGTCAGAGGCCATGTGGGTTGTCAAGGATGGAACACTCCCAGGCCACACCGAGTTGTGTGTGCCAAGGACCTCCCACCTGGTGTCAGGATCTGCCACCCACATTCTCATCTCTTTCTCTCTTATATGCTCCCAGGCATGCCCATCAGCACAGAAAAAGGGCTCTTCAAAGTCCTATGACAAAGAAAACTGTTTGACTTTGTTTATCCTACTGACCTCCAATTTTATGTGCCCAAGAAAGGGAGGCCCCCAACATCTATTAACATTTTAAAGAACTGGTACTCCATAGACCAACAGGTAAGCTCTATTTGGCCTTCACAATCTGACCTTCAAGTCCAGCAAGGACCTGCAGAACCCACTCTGGGTTTTATGCTTGAGCTAGGAGCCATCTCTCCTAGTTGACCTTTGACTTCGGCCTGCCTCCTGTGCCCCCAGGGAAGGCTACAGCGTTGCTTCAGGTCTACTGTGCCCAACAGGCACCAGTAGCTTGAGTGCTGACACTGACCAAGTACCTACCTTTGCCACCTGTGGTAACATCCACAGCTTGGGCTAGTGTGGTATCCCTTTCTCTCTCCTGCAGTGCTACAGTCCAACTTTCCTTTGGGGATCACCTTTCTCTCACCTGCTGCCAGCTGCCAGGGTAGGGACAGACCCTGGTTTGGCTCTTCAGAGTATCCTACTACCCTGCTCTAGACCTGAGCTCGTGGGCCAAAGAACTCAACACTAGAAGGGGCCTGCAGCTCTGGAGTTCATGCTGCAGCAGCAGGGCTCCCCATCCTGGGCTTTGTCCCTAAGCTCGCCCCAGTGTGAGTGACCAAAGACCAGGCCAAGAATGAGGCAAGCTTGGATTCTAGTCACAGATTCTCACAGAGGGAACATGGTAACTGCGGCTCATGCTTCACATCCTCTGGAGCTGACATTCTTCTGGTCTGGACCGTCCATCCTTCCACGAGATAGGCAAGAACCAGAGAGCGGCAGCTGATGACCAGAGACAGAGGGGTGCGGGTGGCGTGGAGGGGCATACCTGCTTGCGGTGCTTTTTCTTCCAGCTGTACTGGCTCCGTCAGCCTGCAAAAGAAACCCAAACAGCTCTATCAGCCAGGGCTCAAGACAGACATTCTCCCTATTGCCACCTCACCAACTCTGCTGAACAGCGGCCTTCAGACAGGATGAGCAGGCCCCAAGCCCCTGCCCCACTCCACCAGGCTGGAAAAAGCTGCCCCCAGTGATGAGAGGGACTCAGAACATTTCCCTATCCCATTTGCTTGGCCCTTTAAATCCTGCTGAGCACCCACTGCCAACACAAACCTAGCAACCACACAGCCCTGGGGACTCCATGAAAAGTAAGTAACCAGTTAAATCTGAGATTGAATTGCACCATTTTTATTTTCAGCTGGGATTTCCAATAAAACAGTAGCTGCAGATTTATTCCTACCAACTGGAGGGGAAAAATCCTATTATGTTAAAATATTCTGTCCCCCAACCCTATGAGCAGGGGAAGGCAACAGAGTGCTCGTTCTTAATCTCTTTTATTTGAGGGTGGGGGATGGAGAGATAGGGCTGACCAAATGAAATTTCCAGAAATCATAAAATTCTCATTGAGATGGAGAGACTAAGGCTTCTGGTACAGAGGGAGACGTCTGGAGTCTCATGAGGGCCCAATGACAAATACCTGGAGTCCTGACTCTCAAGCCAGCACTCAAGAAGACTCGGATATAGAGGAGGCCATAGATGACGAAGAGCGAAGGCCTGGAGCCCCACCACCATGCCTGAAATGCACTCCCTCGCCCTCTCAAAACTCGTATAATAAGAAGAACCACAGGAGCGCCACGCAGGGCTGACAAGCTAGAGCACATGTTTGCAAATTCAAAACGTTTCCAAGTTTGGAAAGGCGCCGCTGCCTATGCCCTGCCCCTCTGCAGTCCCCAGCAGAGTCTGGAGGCCCGGGTCATCACGCACACGGGCATCTCGGTGGCAGCCCAGCACAGGCAACCCCACGTGGGCACGTGACGGGCGACCACAAGCAGCCTCACTGCCCTTCCAGTCCAGTTCTGCTGCTCACCGACTACAACCTTTCTGTCTCCAAGCTTTTTGGAGTCAGGATTGTGGGTGAAGAATCCAGGATAAAGAGTGAAAAGAGCTACTGCCCTTGAGACAGAAGTTGCAAGCTGGCAAAACCGGATGGTGGGCTTCGCACAGAGAACCAGAAACATAAAATAAGGGGGTTTTGCCCAAAATAGATTTCTAGCTTCTCTTTGAAAAAATCCAGAGAAAACCAATCCCACAGAGTGAGTTAGCCCGGCTCTACCTGCTTCTTCACAGTCCCCACTACTTCCTCCTCTTATAGCAGCGCCTGCCTGGCCCTCTGGACTCCTCCCTGGGCAACTTCCCACCAGCGCTGCTGGAAGGACATTACTGTTTCCTCTCCTCTGGCTCTCGGCAGGTCCCTAACGTGAGTGCACTATGCCCACTTCACAGGTAGAGACACAGAGGCCCAGTGCCTATAAGTCATTTATCGAAAGCCCCCCAGCTCAAGACTGGCTCTGAGTCACTCCCATGGCCATACCCTCAGCTCTGGAATAGCTCATCTCCCACCAACGTTTAAGAGACCCAAATGGGAAGTGGGGTGACCCCACAGCACCCCTACTCCATATGAGGAAATGAAAGGAGGGTGAGGCAGGATGTGGATGTATGATGTCAGCCAAAGAAACATTTTCCTGGGAGCAAAGGAACAGGATCAGCTGCAGGCTCTTTCTGACATCTTGAGTTCCTATACACAACGAAGTTCTAATGTTCACATCCTAAGAGGCAGGGATCATGTGGGGTGGAGAGTCTGCCCCAGAGAACTAAACCTCAAATGATCTTTCTTTTCCCACCTACTTCTCCATGTACACTTCAAGCAGTGCTTGCACATTTTTAACGATGCCTTTTTTATCCTCCGCCATCACAGATCTGCCTAGGTTGACTGGGTAAAAACAGCGAACACGGGACAGCATAGGGAGGCTCTGGGGCCTGCCTCTGGCACATCTGGCCATCTCCATCTTTGTTTCTCTTTCAGCGAGTTGATGGCACTTCAGCCCTGTCGCATGGGCAGGCATCCTAACTTCTTTTTCCACTCATTTTTATAAAACAAAGACAGAATGCTAAACTTATCCCAAGAGTTGTTAAATCCTTTTGCGGAGACTCAGATAGTGGCGCTGGGGTCCTGGAGCTGCAAAAGGCAGGAATACCTACCTGGGCAGGGTGAGGGATATCATTAGTAGCTGCTACAAGTGGGGGATGGTGTGGTGATGGGCAACGGATACAGCAGGAGACATCCAAGATGGCATGTGCGAATATCATAGCACACGGCAACCACGGTCCACCACTGTGACCGGGCACAGCCTCCTGGCCCTGCAGCTGAAGCCCACGGTGCTGGCAGCATCCACTCTCAGAGCAGAGACCCACATGACACCTGGCTGGCTTTGGCCATGTCCCTGCAAATAAATCATGCTGTTGCGTTTGAATTAACTTGAATTCTGGGGCTGCCATTTGTTAGGCCGAAATGGTCTAAAATGAGCAATTTCACAGGATTCAACCTAAACCACAAGTTCTTCTTCACCTTGTGTTATCAGACCTGATTCTCCACATGAACAAGAGTTGAAGAGCACAGGGTACAGAGTCTGAGTCTGAGCCCTGCTTCTGCCATTCTCTAGCTGCATGATCTTTCGCAAGTCACCTGGGCTGCTGAGGTCTCAGGTCTCTCATGTGCAAATTGTGAGGCACGAATCCTAGGACCTATTTCACAGTAGGGGTGTCAGATCTGTAGCTTTAATAAGGGCACATGTGTAAAAGTACCTAGGGTTGGCTCAGTTCTAGTACCCCATCAGCTACCATAACGATAGAGACAGAGCCACCACTGACTGTGTCCAAGAGACTACAGAACGGCTGTGTGGGTGCACACAGTGGGTGAGCAAGTCACCAACCACCCTGGACTTCCCAGAATCCCATGCTGCAAGTGCTACCTCATGAGCATCCAACGGACCAGCAGAGCCCCAAGGTCATGGGAACCACACCGGATACAGAAGGTAAGCAAGGCTCCAAGCCCACACTGGGTACAAGCAGTAGCCACTCCAGTAATGGGGACTTGGTGGCTGCTCTGTGACACCATCCTCATCTCCCAAGGGGCCACATGCTTTCAAAGGGTGTCTCCTCCTAGTTCTGTCTTAGCTCTCACTTTGAATTTCTCAAGCTCTTTCCTTTCTCTGGACCTGAGGTTCTCCAGCAGTAAAAATGGGGGTAGGAAGAGAGGATTAAATCAGACCAGCCTCTCCCCACGTTTTTGTCCACCTTAACCAGAGCCTGTACAGCAAATGGAACATGGTGGAGAACGCAGGCACATGGGAGAAAGTCCCCCTTGGGTAGTGGCGGGGTACAAGGAACCAAGCCCTCCTCCAGACCACGGGTACCTGACTCCCTTTCCGAGCCCCACCCGTCCCCTATTCTCCAGCTTCTCCCCAGGACCTGGGCAGAGCTATTTTTAGTTTCATTAGACCCGCCTCTTCCCTCCCAAATGAATGTTAAGTTGTTCTTTTCCATTCTCTTATTAAGGGTTTTCTTGGAAAGAAAATATTATTCCAAACCCAGAAATTTTATTTCTAAATTTGTGCAAATGTAAGTTGTAAGACATTAGCTGCATTTCACATTTTGTGCAAATGGCAGAAACAGGCAATTCGTGTGCTACGGGGTGGGGGCTGGCCAACGATTTCGATAAAATAAACCCTTTTTTAATTTAAATGCTAATGCACTGAATTAAAATTTAATAACTGAGGAAATTGAAAAGCCGAGCAGGAATATTGGAAATAAATCCAAGCAGAAACAGCTGAAATTAAAAATTCTAGAGAGTGGGAGGACAGCAGCTAAGCTGTCTTATATGATTACATTTTTTTTTTTCAGAATGAAGCAAAAAAAAAAAAAAAATCCTATCTCTCGCTGGCTCTAGGGCAGTAAATCCACAGTGCTGTGATTTATTGCTCAATTTTCCTGAGGGAAAAAGGCTTTCTTTCATGCTGAAATATTTCATAAATTTCAAGCCAGCATAAATTCTTAATTTAAAAGTTATGGAGGTCACATTTAGTGCACTGGTATGGTTCCAAAATCTTAAAGGAATAGCAGTAACCAAAAAAAGAAAAAGAAAAAAAAAGAAAGAACCGGTTAGAATTTGCTCTTTTTTTTCATTTTAGGTTTTAATTCACAAGTTGAAATTTCATTATTAAAGATTTCTGCTGGATGGATAGAACCCAAGCATGTGGGGAGCTGGTGTGTGTTTAGAAATCTGCTGCAGAAGATAAAGAGATAAAGATTTAATTCAATTATAAAAAAAGCTTTTTTTTTTTTTTTTTTAAAGCCACTTGAGGAATTTCTGGTAAAAATTTCCTCCCTTCACTGCCCGGGAAGGGGCGGATGGGGGAGGGGGCCAGTGTAATTGCTTCTCTTAGATCTCCAATCTTTTGTGCACACTGATATATTCATTTGTTATACAGCTGTTCAGCGGCGGAAAGAATGCTGGGGCGCCCATAATTCTAAGCAAATCAATCAAAAATTAATGATTTGTCATGCTTGCACAATGGAGGAAAAACAGCTCCTTGGGTCCTGGCTGCCTGATCTCGAAGAATGAAATGCCTTCCTGTGATAAAGGAGCTGAGCCAGGGACTCGGGGAGCCCGAAGTGTCGCCACAAACGCGGGGGCCCTGTGGCGCCCCCAGCTCTGGGAGGACGCAGGGGCCACCGTCTTGGAGGAACACATTCAAGATGGCACCTCAGCCAGCCAAGCCTACTGCAGACCCGGCCCAGCACAGGTCCGCAGCAGAATAATTAGGATCTTGTCTTTTCCCTCCCCCAATGCAACTTGAAAATCACTTCCTCCCTGGAGAACTGACTGCCTCCCCTCCCCCCACTAGATTCAATTTGTCCCTTTTCATTGTTCTTCCAACACTGCTAACACACTGCCATCAGCGCCTTCACCAACCCTATGGACCAAGGTCCCAGTTCCTCCACTGCCTACCAATCCCACCACCCACCACCCACCA